GAGAAGTTCAACCTGGGCAAACTGCTGGTGGAATGGAGCTGGGAATTCCGGGCTGGATGGGACCTCTCATTCCCCCCTGTAAGGTCAGTGGGCGGTTGCTGGTCGGCCCAGTAACCCAGCTTCGCCTTCCTCCCACCCTCCGCTGCCTCCTGCCAAGCTTGTTCATGGAAAATATTAATTAACGTCATTCCCAGGGCCGAGCCGGCACCTTCCACCAGTTGCTGCCTCCTTCTTTGCCAGGTCTGTGCTAAAGAAGGCTGCGCCCTGCAAACCCGCTCATCCCCGTCTGGCTCCCCGTGTGCGTCAGGGTCCATTGGGCCATTTAAGGCTTTGTGGGTCGTTAGCAGCACCTTGAATTTCACCCAAAGCTGCCTTGGCAGCCAGGGAGGAGTCCCGGCCACGGGAGCTGCCAGCCGGGCACCGTCCCAGCACCGAGCACTGCTGCTGGTCTGGGCTGCGAGGGGAACCCCGGAGCAGGGAGACCAGGATGGCAACAGCATCAGCAGGATGATGCCATCCTCATCAGCACCCGACGTAGCCGTAGGGTTTCTCCCCAGGGCTTTTTAGGGGTGCTGTGGGTTTTCTGTTGTCTCTGTTGGAAAGGACAGGAGGCTTTTTTCTCTTTTTATGGTTCAACCTGCGGGCTGGCGGGGGTCCCACGGGGGTATAATTAGCCACCCCGACAGGTGGAAGGGATCGGATGGCCCCCAGCATGAGGGTGCGCCCGTCACCCCGCAGCCCTGCTCGGCTTCAGCCCGGCTGACACGCGACGGACAACAAACCGCCTTATAGCAACCCAGCCCCAGCATGTTTGCTCTGGCATGCAGGGCAAGAGCAGAAGAGCTGCCGTAAATAAACAGAAGGGGCTTTTCCAGTCACCGAGCCCGGCGGGGAGGCAATCCCAGCCTCACCATCCCTGCCCTAAAACAGCGGTGATGGACGAGGTGTTACGGAAGAAGGGCCGAGCGCTGGGAACAGCGTGGAAAAGCCATTAGAAACTTGAGCTGAGGACACAACCCTGGGATTAGTCGCACATGGTTTGTTTTCTTTATTAAGTATCTCTTTGCCGTAGAGCCAATAAATGTGGTCTGGTACAATGATTGACTTGGAGGTCAGTGCCGGTGAGAGCACTGGGCAGGCGGTGTATCCCAGTCCCAACACCAAGCTGGGACCGTGGCACCATCCCCCTCCAGCACAAGGATTTGTAACTGGTCCTTCGGGTGCCCTGCTGGGAAGAAACAGCTATGTTTCTTGACTTTTCCCTAAAATAGCATCATTCCTGAGCATAGCAGCATCACCGCTGGCTGCGAGGGTGATGCATCCATGTGGCTTTTTGAGACCAGGGCTCTTTTTTCCTGCTCTTCTCCTTTCCAAGTCCATTTTGTGTTGGAAACCACTATACAGAAGTGGATCTTGCATCCTTGGGCGGAGGCTCTGAAGAGCTGCTGCCCTGGCAATAAATAGCAATAATCAACATCAGGTGGGTTTGTAATTAATAGGAAGCTTTCAGGGTGTCACCGTCATCGCATGGATGGAGATCTGGAGGTGGTGGTGGACTAGAAACCTTCCAGCGTGCAGTAGATCTGATGTACCATCAGGCCAACTTGCCGTCACATGAGATGGGTGGCGTTGAACTAGAGCTGGCCCCAGCTATAAGGACAATATGGGAATTATTTCGTGTTGATGCCAGTCAGAAACTTTGGCACACAGCCCAAGAACCTGATATTGTATGAAACATAAAATCCTGGGATTTTGCTCATGCTTCCTTTGGGATCCACTTGGCCTGGCAAAACGGGCTTGGCAGCTCTGCCCGTCCCATGCCACTGGAGCTGTGTAATTTCTAGGCAGGCATCATCATCCATTGCTGCCCATCCAAATAAAGAATGGCTTTGGGCAAAGCGTGTGGGGAAGAGGGGAATGAGAAGATAAACCATAGGCGTTTGCAGGTCTTGTCCATGCAGATGATCTCAGCTGGCCCCACGCCATCTCAGCTTTCAACCTCCCCAGCTCTCCGTCATCCGCAGCCCCTGGGTTCATCCCAGCCTTCAATCCCTAACAGGCTGTGCCTTTATTTTTCCTCTCCCCTAATTCTGTTTCACTTATTTTTAAATCAATTATCAGGTTGAGAGGTTTGCTTTTCTACTCGCTAATATTTTGGGAAAAATTACTGCCCTTGAAAGCTGTCCTGTCACTGCCTTTTCCAAGCATTTATTCTTGGTCTGGGCCGTATCCTGTCTGCAGGTGGAGGTGTCCAGACCAGCATGATTTGGGAGGGAAAAGGTAGAGAATACTGAAAGCTGTTCTCCCAGACCTCTGCTTGATTCAAATGTGTGTTTTCTAGGTGGTTTGCAAGAGAATGGTTGCTTAAACACATCTTTCTGCGCTGGAGGAGATGGTTTTCCCATACCTGCTCTTGCATGGCATAGCCAAAATAAGCATCAGCTTTACTACCAGCTTGGGACAGGCAGGAGCTGGCCTTGCCTACACGGCTGGGATGCTCTAGTCTCTAGTGATGCTTTTCCAGTGCTGGTCCATGGGTGGAAGAGAGCAAACCATCTCTTGGGCTGCATCCAGAGCAGCGTGGCCAGTAGGTCGAAGGAGGGGATTCTCCCCCTCTACTCTGCCCTGGTGAGACCCCCCTGGAGGACCACATCCAGCTCTGGGGTCCCCAGTACAAGACAGACACGGACCTGTTGGAGCGGGTCCAGAGGAGGGACATGGAAATGGTCCGAGGGCTGGGACACCTCTGCTATGGAGAAAGACAGATTTGGGGTTGTTCAGCCTGGAGAAGAGAAGGCTCCGGGCAGACCTTCTTGCGGCCGTTCAATATTTAAAGAGGGCTGATAAGAAAGACGGAGAGAGACTTTTTACCAAGTCCTGTAGTGACAGGACAAGGGGTAACAATTTTAAACTGGAAGAGGGTAGGTTTAGATTGGACATAAGGAAGAAATTCTTTACTGTGAGGGTTGTGAGACACTGGACCAGGTTGCCCAGAGAAGTTGTAGATGCCCCATCCCTGGAAGTGTTCAAGGCTAGGTTGAACGGGGCTATGAGCAACCTGATCTAGTGGGAGATGTCCCTGCCCATGGCAGGGGAGGTGGACTAGATGATCTTGAAAGGCCACTTGGAACCCAAACCATTCTGTGATTCTATGTTGGTATGAAACACAGGATTTTGGAGTAATGACAGAACCTGGGCACTGTTTAGAGATGACTGCTTTCAGGTTGCCTATTGGCTTGTAGACTTACTTGCCATTGAAGCTCCTTCAAATAGAGGGGGAAAGTCATAGGAACTGGGTTTTTAAATGAATTTTCAGTGGAAAAGCAGTGCTGTCCCCCCTATTGAGCCAGTGTCCATGTGTCCATCTAGATCCGTAGCCCTCCTGCTGCTCAGTGCCATCCCCAACCTGCAGCAGACAAGTTCCTTGCTCTGCTGCCGACTTCAGCGACCGGCCCCAGGCAGCAGAGCTGCTGAACCCTTCTGCCCTTTTGAGGAGAGAGCTTCCATGGCTCAGCGGGGCCGCCGCTTAATCCCAAAGGTCAGCACAGGGAGCTGCTCCCATGCCCCCAAAGTCAAGTTGCATTAAAAGGGCAGGAGCTCACCTACTTCCCGCATTGTTGGGAAGATGCATTTTTATAAACAGGCGAGAATGATCACGCTGAAACCCTCCCTGTGTTTCTCTTCCTGTGGATTTGTCCCTTTTTCCCCCAAACCTGTGAGAAATTTGAGCATCTCTGCTACCCTGTAGCAAGGAGGTTTGCAGCGTGGGCATCCAAGCGTGGGAGGACCCACATGGGGAAAAAGCAGGCTGCGTCTTTGCTGGTGGAGAAGGTGAACAGGTGAATGGATCTTGGTGTTGTGGACGCTTTGTTGCGCCATGTGTGTTGGGTTGTGTCTTGTCATGGGTGTTGCGGTGTGATGCCTGTCGCCCTGCGAGAGCCAGGGTGGGATCATCAGGTGGGGTGGGACGGAGCATCCTGGATGGAAATGGGTCCCCCTGGACATCATGGGGCTGGGCAGAGCTCCAGGACCTGCTCCTACCCTCCATCCCTCGGGATACATTGGGACGAGCTCTCTGAATTGCTGCATGTTGCTGTCACGGTGTTGGGAACAGATGGAGATTAGGGAGAGGCTGTTCTTTCTCCCACCTCCTGGCCAACGTTCCCAGCCACCCAGACAGAAACCACACCTGAAGGCATTTCCTCTGCCCTGCCTGCATCTCTTCCTGCCTATCCTGCTGCCAAAAACTGCCATTTCCCAGCAGAAAGCCTTGTCCAGGGGAAGCTGTGGAGCACTGCCGATGTCTCCCTCCCACCGGCACAGCTGGCGACTGCGGGGATGGCTGTGAGCGTTCCTGCTCAGAGCCACCAAAATGCCAGGCTGGGAGCACAGAAATGTTTTTAGGGCTGAACATCTTGATGCCATCGTTTTGCCAGTGCCATGCCGTGACCGTGGCCCTGGACAAGAGAGCATCGGCCAAACTCATTCCCAAGGCCTAAGCAGACCGGGTTGAGCTCCAGCCCCGGGCCAGTTTCAGGAGCAAGGTGGTCCAGGCAGCAGTCCCAAATAAGTCCAAAAATGAACGTGCTTCATTCCTGCTCTTCCCTGCTCCTTTCCACATCCCAAGCATGTCTGGGACAGGAAACACCTGTGTACTCTATGAAACCAGTTTCTCCAGCCCAGTTAACCTCTTTGGGACCTCCCAGCATCACCATCTTGCAGGTAGATCATTGCTGTTAAGACTATGGTGGTTTGAGTCTGTAAAATCAGGCACTTGGAAAGCTGTGGGTGAGTGTGTAATGTCTCCCAGAGAAGAGTATTATTTTTAATAGTATTTTGGCATGGAATAGCATTTTGATACGGCAAAGGAAGCACCAACACATCCTTCTCTTCCTTTAGCAACGTACTGGTGCCACCTGAAGGAACCCAGCTCTGGGAACCCATGCTCCCTGCAAGGCTTTGGCTGCTTTTCCCAATGTTGCTCTCTTTTTCCCTCACAGTGCAAGAAGAAGCACACGCTGGTTTGCCCCGACTTTGCCAAGAAAGGTGTCTGCCCCAGGGGTGCCTGGTGCAAGCTGCTGCACCCCCAGAAGAAGCGTCACCCAAGAGAGGCAGAAGATGGGGACCGCAACGAACCCCCTTCCAAGTGGAGACGGGTCTGGGAGGAGACGGGCAGGTAGGAAAGAGCAGAAGAAACTCGCTTTGCTGCTCTTAAAACAGTTTTCTTCCCAACCTGCTCTGGATGCTTCCTCTTCCAGATGTGTATCCATCTGTGTGCTGGTTTATTTTAAGATGTTGCTGATGTGGGTCACTGGGGTGTCTTCTTGATAGAGCCACCACGGCCAATAGGGTTGAGCAGAGTCCGTACTTGGGGGAGAGGTCTCCAGGCAGAGCTGATGGAGAGGAAAGAGATGATAGCCCGCATCTTGCTACCCGATGTGTGCCATTTGAGTGTGGGTATCTTCGCCCTTAGAAATGTGCCACCCAGGGCTTCATCACCTCTGGATATCTCTGAGGCTTTTGTAGACCTTCCTCCTGGGAGATGGAGGAGCCCTGATGGAGACTCCACCACCAAAAGTGGGTACAGCTTATCCATAGCTCTGTGGGAAACTAGAAATCATCATCCCTCTTCCTCTCTCTTCCTCAAGTCCACGGCGGAGAGCAGAGCTGAGCCCTTGGCGTGGTGTCGGGGGGGCTTGTTGTCAGGACTGGACTCACTGCCTGAAGAAGCAGAGGTGGAGATGGACATGGAGATACAATAGGCTTTGTAAAGCCTTTTGATGCTGGGCTGGTTTCTTGGTTAATCCTTGGAAGCTCTCTGAGCTCTCTCTGGGCAGACAATGCTTTTGGGTGCTGGGATGGAGCCCACAGGCTGAGGGACACATTGATCCTCATCTCCCCAGGGAGACAGATTTTTCTTGAGCATGGCACATCCTTGCCTGCCTACAGAATGACTACATCCCAACGTAATTAAAATTAAAGCCAAAATGAAATTTGGCTTTAAAATCCAAAATCTAAAAGTCCTGGTTAGTGGGAGGAGAAAATACCAGCTTGGGTGCTTGGCTCCTACACGTCTGTCTGCGGCAGGACGTGGGGGTGAAGGTGGGATGGAAATGGAGGGATGTGGGAGCTGTGCCCATCTGGTCCATGCTCTTGCCCGGTCCTGGGCCTCATCCTGACCCTGCCTTGTAAGGTAGCAGAGGGGGATGAGCGCTTAGCGGGCTGTCCGAACTTATCCCAGATGACAGAAGAGCCTTGGAATGACACCCAGCTCACATCCCCGGTGTGAACAAGGTGTAAAATAGCTCCTTGCTCTTTTTAGGTAAGGAAGCATGAGTGCGGGGCTGGGTGGCGGGGAGGCAACCCCCTCCCATCCTGGGGACAGCTCCTGGCATCCTCCGCTGCGAAGGGAGCATGCCCAAGCTTGGAAGCTGCTCGGGAGGTTTTTTTTCTTTTATTGGCACCATCGTTGGAGATGTTGAACGGGCTGAAGTGTCACGTTAGCTGGGCTTGGAGAAGGGCAGCAAGGTTGGGGCTGAGCCAAGCCCAGCGGGGCATCTCCGAGCCATCCCTGCTCTCCACACTCTCCATCTCCCCTCTCCTCTGCTCGTTTAGCCCAGCCAGCACCCAAACAGGAGCCCAGCACCTCCACAAGCATCTGAGAGCCGGAAAGGTTGCAGGGAAGCGCAGGGCAAGGAATCCAGTTGAGGAGTGAGAAACTCTGGCTGAATCCGAGCTGGCTCCCAGGAAATTGGGGATACAGAGCATCCTGGGTTGGAGCTCGGAGAGCCTCTGTGTGCGGCTCTGGTGGTTTATCCCAATCTTCCATTGCACATGATGTTGCCAAGAGGGATCATTTTATTTTTCTTTATTATTTTTTGCCTCCTGCAGGAGTGATCCAGCTCAGCTCCATGACGATGGGGAAATACCCGGACCCTCCAGTGCGGAGCAAGAGGTGAAGTTTTGGAAAGAGACGGACACTTCACCAACCAGCTGGCTGCAAAAGCTGCCGTCCTTCATCTCTCTCCAGTCCTCAGAATCCCCTGGTGATGAGGGCTGCAAAGTGGAGAAGGACGAGGACGAGCCAGAGGATGAGCCAGGTAGGAAGCACTTGCTCTGCTTTTGCTCCCACGTGCTCCGAGCTGCTCCGATTCACTGAGCGGGAGAGTTATTCCTGGGCTGCTCTCTGTGGGTTTTGGTGGGATCAGTGTTCCTTGTGAGTCGCCAAACCAGTTAACGCTGGGAGCCCAAACTGGGATGGCAACTGGGACTCGCATCTCTGTGGACACAGGGGCACGAGCCCCTGGCTCTGATCCCAAAACCTCATGGTAGGATTTTGTCCCCATCTTTTATCATCTCTTCCTTCCTTATCCTATAAATTACTCGATGATGAATCCAAGCTCGTTCCTGTGGCAGAGCTGCAGCGGTCCCCAGTAGGAGGCTGTTTCAGAGGGATGCAGTGATGCTCTGCCTTACTACTGGACCCACAGAAGGACCTCTGGACCGTCCATCACACGTGTTTCCTGGCATGAAATAGATTTGAAGCTTTGAAATAAAAACATCCCTGGTGGGAGGTGGGTTGGGGTGTTTGCAGCTTGCAAGCTCAAAGGAAGAGCCATGTTAGTCTGAGATGATTTGCTTTATTCTTTTATTAAAAGGCAGGGGAAATCAGTAAAATTTTTGGAAAATGCAGTTTTAGGATGAGCAAAACTTCTTACAAACTCCAACAAGTGAGAGCAAACAGCTTCTGCCTCGAATTTTTTTTTGATTTTTGGAAAAGTTCAGGGAAATGTTTCAACTGTTTGAAACTGAACTGACTGTAGGAAAAAAAGGCAGGGGAAGATTGTTGAAGCAATGAGAAGAAACGTCTTTGTTTCTCTGCAAAGCGGCTCATAGTGGAGGTTAGCTGCATTTCTACTTCTCCAACATTTTTCTTGGTTCCTTCTCTCCTAATTCAGCTCCTACACTGGAAAGTCCTTTAATCACCAGCAGCTCTGCAGGAAGGGACAGGACTTTGGGGCACTCTGGGGATGTGTCTGCAGGAGCAGAGGTGATGGAGATGGAGAGGCAGAGATCATGCCTGGTCCTTCCCGGCGCTGGGTGGGAGGTTTTTGACAGGATGATGCTTCACGCTTTCCTTTTCATCTCCTGTCCCTCACTGGAGGGATCTGCAGCAGTGGCATCTCCTGAGCACCATCGCAGAAAGAGAGGCAGCATCTGGCTCAGAAATCAAAATATTTTGTGGCAGTAATGATGAAATCCTCACTGCCAGCTTGGCTGGCACAAGATGTGCCTCAGTATGAACGAAGGGCTGGAGCATCCCTCCCTGTCTTTGATCCAGAGCGTGCAGCCAGAGCAGAATCCCGCTGGGAGAAGGGATGAATTCGGCACTGAAAGCTGGGCTGGGGTGTTTGCCCAGTCATCTGTAAGCGGGTACCGCAGATCTGCAAGGCTGTGCCTGGCTCAACCACGAAGCACTTCGAGCCAGAGAGGGCTGAGATGCCTTAACGCTGTCGGAAAGAAAATTCCCAGGATTAGCAACATATTCCTGAAGTCACAGGCAAGCGCTTGTGCTGTTGAACAGCGGTGCGGTGGAAACAGCGAGGGACTTTTCCAGCTGGGAAAGCCCCTCTGTGCAACACGGGGTGAAGCACTCGGCTTCCCTTTCCAAGGATTTCTTCCCCCCGCACACCTCCCTCCTTCCCTCTCCTTGGCCCTGGTTCAACTCCCTTTTGATCTCGGCAGCAGGGCCAGGGAAGCGCTCCCAAAGCAGCAGCTTAATCAGGTTTTTTTATCTCTGTGATGAAGACAGAGCAATTAATCCGTGGACAAGAAAGTTGTCGAAATGCCCTGGATTGCACTTGGCAGCCTGGAGTAACTCGGTCGAGAGGGCGGAGGCATCATCCTGGCAGTGAGGGCATCCTTTTCCTTTTAACTCCAGTTTGCACATTCAGGGGAGTAAGATTTCCAGGCGTTTTGGGTGGGAGGATGAGTAGAAGGAGCTGGTTCGGTCCAGGGATGTCAGGAGGAAGACTACGGGGAGCTAGCGGGTACGGGGTCGGGGCGCGCATCCCTCTGTGCTCCTTCGCCTTTGCCCGGGGAGCACATGGCATTGGGAAAGCAGATGCTGGACGATCCGTAGGAAAGGAAAACGAGGCAGGAATTGCAGATGACTGTAAAATCATCTGATGATGAAGCAATTCCCCTGCCAAAGGGATGCAGCGATCGTGCATGATGAGTCCAGGCGCGAGGATGCTGTTTGGTGCCCGGGTTTGCCTATGCCCGGTGCTGAGACGCGCTCAGTAATTAATGTCTCATCTCAACACACAAACGAAGGGGCTTTGGGACACAGCAGCAACTGGGGACCACCATAATCTAGCAAGAGAAAAGGAGCCCTGGCCACTAAGAAGCCATCATCCTGAGAGGGCGCAGGATGAGGCCATTGATGCTGCTAAAGGACCAAATGCTTCATGGTGGCCAAATCACCTTTAAAGCCAGGACTGGTGCTTGTGAGCTTGAGGTGCTGTTTTGAGCTAAGCAGGTGGTCAGGATGAGTCCTTGCATAGCTCTAGGTAGTAGCTGGTGTTGGCAATGGGATTTGGGGGTCTGCGTCTTCCCCACTGCAGCCTTTGTATAAAGGATAATATTCGGTTTCTGTTTGTAAAGCCTGAAGGTGACACGCAAATTGTCTGGGTAGTAAATAGGGAGGAGGACAGGTTATTATTACGGAGTGAGCTGAATTGCTTGGTTAAACAGTCACAATTTGAGAAAATGCCCTTTTAATACTGGTAAATGCAGGAGGAATGAAGAAAAACCCTGGCTCTGTGTGCGGGAGGGATGGAGTGGGGGTTTGGAAATGACCTTTAAGGACCAGCATGTGCAACAGCATCAGCTTGCGGGGGTCTCGGTGGGGTTCTGCAGCCTCTGGCCTTGGGATATAGAAAAAGGGGACGGGAAAGGAGTGATGTGGTTGGCATGCATGGAGCAGAGCTTGCTGTCGTCCTCCCATGAGGAGGGTTCCCAGCCTACAAGAGGAGCCTTGTAATTTGGGGTCGGAGGAGTCATTTGAGGGCGCTGGTGCTTTTCGAGCATCCTCCGAAAAACCCATCCATGCAGCATGGGGAGACCAAACCACTTCCAGCCAAGCATCCTGGCCAGGAAGGGTGGGCTTGGTGGCATCTCATCCTTCACCTCGTTGTGTTCTCCATCCAGGAGGGCAGAGCCAGAGGGAGCACGGGCTCCCCTACCCCTCCGACACCCGTTTCCAGGTAATGGGCCTTTCCATATTTCACCTTCCAGTTAAATAGCCTGCGCTGGAGCCTAACTGGCCTCCCCGCACTAATTGTAAGCAAGCGCACCAATGCAAACCATTCCAATCGAGTGCTAATTTAATTAGAAAGCACCCATTTTAGTTAATTTGTTCGAGAAGATCACTGAAAACTCCTGGAGAGAACAGATGTTCCCCTCTCCCCCGATGAACATTCAGGGGTTTGTAAATGGCTCCACTCAGCCTTGTTTAGGAGAGAAAAGAGGATTTTATAGCTGCAAACGACCCTTTCTGTAAACATTTTACAGCTCTCTGCACGTTTGAGTGACGATAAACCCCTAGCAACTCGGCGGGCTGCAAATTTGCGACCATACGGCTATCATTTTATTGTCATATTTCACGGTCGTAACGTTAATGGAAGATGCTCGCTACAGTCTTTTTTAACGGCTCCGCTGAGCACGCTCAAACGCTTTGGCTTTGGAGGAATTCGTGGAGGTGCAGCGCTTCTGGGTTTGTTTACAGCTTTCACTTCTGGAGGAATAACTTTGGAAATGCAAATCTCCTCTCTTCTCTGCCGGGCTGGACCCATGCTTGAGAGCCACCCTCAACAGGGCATGTGACTGCGGGGATGGGCAACACCTTGGTCCCAGATCCTGGTCTGACCATCCCCAGCTCCTGGAATTTCGGAGAAAGCCGGTGCTGCCAGTCCTTGCGTGCATGCGGCTGGTCCCCCTCGGCTGCCCCGAAGGTCCTGTTGCCTGTAGCATCTCCTTTAATGCTGCTTCTGACACCAGCTCTTTGATCCAAAACTTGTTTTGACAGCCAGGTAGGGCAGCCAACCCTTTTGATCAGTGTGAGCTGGTGGCAGAAGATGCTCTGGAGCCTTCGAGAGACCATCTGCGTGGTTGGGGTTGGAGGGCTAGGACACAAGGGGGTTGTCCTGGGATAACAGGAGCCAGCATCCGCTGTCAGCTTTGACCCCATTGGGACTTAGTGCAGTTTGCTCCTCTTGGTAGGGTCATGGACGAAATGTTTTTGTGGATAAAATACAGGGAACTGGTTTCTCTGTGTAGTCACAAACATCTTGTACATCCTGTGCTCCAACCCCAACCATCTTGGTGGCCTCCACTGAACTCACTCCAGTATGTCCGTGTCCTTCTGTACTGAGGAGCCCGCAGAGCTCCAGGTGTGGTCTTGCAAGTGTTGGATATTTTCACAGCGCTACCAAATCAGCCCGATCCTGAAAAGCACTGCTAATGAAGCATTTAGTGCATACCTCAGTGCTGAACTCGGACTTCTTCGTGATAAATCTGAAGCCTTTTGTTTATCCAGGGGAACAATTTTTCATGTAGTTTTCTTATATTGATCCGTTATCTCTTGTGCATCTCCATGGAGAGTCTGGCTCCATCTTCAACCACCTTTAAGTAACAGAAGACAGAGATTATTTGAACACAGCTGAAGGTAGTTGAAGACAGCAATTCCCCATTAGTCTTCTCCAGACAGAAACACCCCAGTTCTGTCTCTTCCAGCCCAGTTACCTTCAGGAGGCATCTGAGCCACCTTGGACTTCTCTGAGGACCTTGAGTCCTAGCTGGTAGGGAGCAGAGGTCTTGGCCTACTTGGTAGGGCTCATTGCCTCTTCTTGGAAAAGGTGTTGGCCATGATGGCCAATGTCATGGCCAATGGCTGAAGTCACAGGCCAATGGCTGTGCCTGCAGCTGGTCCACCTCCATGGCTTCTTCTTTGGGTGGGACTACATCCACAGCCTCTTCTTCAGGTGGGTCACCTCCATGGCCTCTGGATCTCCCATGACTTGGCTGAGGGCAGCTGTTC